AAAAAAAAAAAATTTGAAATGCAACCCTTCCCAGCAAAGACAGCCCTCGTCTAGCCACGGAACTCAGAAAACTGGATCCACACCTTAAATGAACAATCGGTAGCCTGCAGCTTTGTGTCACCGAGACCCAAACTGGGGCTGCAGAGCTGGGCTCAAGGCCGTGAGACAAAAGGCCCACCGACCGCCTGCCTGATGTGTCCATCGCCAGGCACACAGTTTCCTGTCCCGGGGCCGCTGCTCCTGATCAAAGATAACGTCCCACTGAAGATTCACTACAAATGCCCGGTGTTCAACTGGGGGCACGAACACCCCCGGCCGATACCGGGAATGGACAGGCCGCTGGGTAAGAGCCAACGGGCTTATCCCGTCTTCCCAGGAAACACGCGTGCGGGGCCTCGGCCCCAGTTCACGCCTGAACTCTGTTAGCGCCCCGGCCTCCCCCAGCGGGAGCCCTGCCGCCTGCCTGCGGGGACGCGTCCCTGAGCCGTGGCCGATCTGCGTGAGAGGTGGGCACGGGGGTGACGGGCGAGGCTCTCGCCTTCATACCAGCGGCGTGGGCTGCCCCCGCTTGCCAACGCCAACCTGTGTGGGCTGCGTGAGGCTGATGACAGGGGGCTGGAGAGCGCTGGTCACGGTGGCCGCCGTCTTCCCGGCCGTGCGCTGGACCGAGCTGCTCAGCACCACGGCCGTGAGCGCGGTGGTGGCCTGCGAGGCGGGCGGCGGCTGCTGCTGGCTCTGCTGGATGAAGGCCGCGGAGTCGGGGGTCAGCTGTCTCAAGGCGGGCAAGCTTCTCTGGGCGGGAAGACAGACACAGGGTCGGCAGCGGCACGCGGCCGGGCTCCCTCCTCACAAACCCAGAAACCTCCCGCTCAGAGGAGCAAGTCCCTCAAGCTCAACCGCGCGGGTCTCAGCGCCTTCACGCCTCTGGGCGTCGGCGCGGGCAGCCGGGCGCACTAACCCGCAGCCCCACCGTCACCGAGCAGGATTATTCTCCGAAAGAACCGGCTAGAATTTGTTCAGAAAAAAGAAAAGGGCGGTATTTCTGAAAGGCTCTTAAGAATGTCACGGCAGCAAAAGTTACTTAAGAGGGCCGGCCTGATGCCTTTGAACTCCACCGCCAACGGGCGAGCCCCGTCCATCGGCCTTCCGGCCGGTGCTTCTGTCTGCTCTGTGCCAGCGGCCAGGCCACAGGCCAGGGGCCTCAGGGCTCAGAGAAAAATCCCCTGACAGGGAACGTGAGGAGCGTCACAGGGTACCTGAAACCCACAAGCCCACGGGGCCACCTGGGCGCCCCCCTCTCCCCTCCACCAGGCCCACGGCAGGCTGCCGGCGTGCAGTGCCGCAGGGGGTCTCCACATTTACCTTCAGGAAAGGCACAAGGTAAGGTTGAGGTGAAGAATTAAGTTCTCGGTATAACCTACTGGTGAAATCTTCCGCTTCGATTTTTCCATCCTTAAAAACGAAAACCACAAAAAAATTCTCTCGTGAACACAAGTTAACACTCCTCTGGTTATTCAGCACTGCTCTGGTGCCCTGTTGGAATCAGCGTCCTTTCCGCCAGGTCTTGCATGGGGCACAGGTGACAGCATGGGGCAAGTCAGGGACGCCTTTACAAGAAGAGGCGACCCACATTGAGACCCCCAAGCCTCCAGGAGGAAGCCCGGGGTGGGAAGTGAGAACCCAGACTAGAAGGGGGCACAACCCTGTTCTGGAAACTGAAGCATGTGTGGTCTCAGGGTAGGGGAGGCAAAGAGAGGCGGGCAGGGACGGGATGTCACGGGCCATCCTCGAGAGGAAGCCCTAAGAGGGAGCGCTCTCAGCCAGGGCTGCCGACGTCTGGGATCCCGCAGGGGAACCCGAGCTTCCGCCCAACCTGTCCAACCTGTGCCCTCTCGTTTGGGGTGTTACCAGCAGCCAGGCCCTAACTAATGCCAGGTTCAAAGAGGAAGCGGCAACAGCGTCCAGGGGACCAGGAGGGCCCATGAGAAGGTGGAACAGGGGCCCCGGTGCCCTGCCGAGAGCACAGCCAGGCGGGGGCAGGGGTATGGCCAGATCACTTGGGGAGCGAGGGACGTAGCGCCGAGTGGCTCCTTCGGCAAGAAGGGACAGACCACAGACAAGGGACCACGGGGATGAACAGAAGAGGCATTTACTTCGTCAGCAATTTTCACGAGAAGGCGGAACTGTTACAATTAAAACAAAAAGCTAGGAATTGTTGCTTCCCACGAGAGGGGAGATCGTTTTTCAATCTCTACGCTCCCTGAAAATACTTAAGTGCATGGTCCAAGCAACTGCTTGCCTGCGGGAGCACGACTTCTGTCCTTTCCAGACCAAAACCAGGGTGGCCTGCAAGGGGGGCAAGAGCCAGCCCCCTGGGGAGGAGACGGCGGCTCCGAGAGTGGCTGTCCCGCCACCCGTCACCCCGGGGGAGGGGTCCCCCCTCTCCCCCCAACCCGGCTGCCTGCGTCGAGAACGGAGGCCCCGGGCAGACACATCCCTCCAGCGGAAGGACGGAAAGCATCCAAGAGCCCAGATGTCAAACCACCAGGCTTCCTCAACAAAGAAACCAAAAGGAAAGCGAAGGGCAAGGAGGAGGGACCTGAGACCAAAGGAGATGCAGAGAAGACGGCCGTGCCCGCAGAGAGATGCAAGAAAAAGCCTCAAAAACGCTCTCAATCAGGTGTGTTTACAAACGCTCCTGAGGTGGACAGAACGCTTTCAAGTGGCCTTCGTGTGAGTGCCGTGGGAAGCAGGACGGGCCGGGCGCCGGCCTCCACCCAAGGGTGCAGGTCAGTCCCCAGGAGGCCACCACAGGCCGCGCGCGCCTCTGGCGGGACCTCCCCGCGTGTCAAACAAGTGCTCAGAGCCGCATCCTCTTACCAGTAGGTTCTGGACCAGCTCTTTCACGTTAGCGGCTGTCTCTGTAGACTGTTTACCAGATGAGGCCAGTTTTATTAATGTAGATAGAAAGTTTTTACATTTCTTCACGTTTTCCATGGTTTCCTGGATTCAAGTTAAAAAGATACAAGTGAAAAAGTCTTAAAAAAGCAGGTTTCCGTCAGAGCCTCTGGGTTCACCGGAACGTCTACAAGAAACTCCTTTGCAGAAAATGCAGCGACTCTCAGGGCTGCTGAGGGGTGGAAGCCGGGACGTGTGCCATGTGGCCACACCAAGCGAGGGGCACAGCAGAGCTCACCCTGACTCAGCCAGCAGCTCAACTGCCGGGTTACGTCCCCGGGCGAACAACCATACGCGTGACCGTGAGGAACCTGTGGCACGTCCCCCATGACGTGGCTTTACCATAAAGAAAAGCTGGCGTCTACGTAAACACGCAACAAAAGGAATTAAACTATGACCCAGCTACGAGAGGTGAGGAAAAGCCTGAGCAGAGCAGCGTGAGAGGGAGTCTAAATAAAGCAGGACCCCGGCAGGTGACCGACGCGCACGTGCGCGGGGAGCCACTGGAAGCCTAGCAGGGACGTGGCTCTGCTCTGGGGACAGTCGCTCCTGTATGCTGCACAGGCCGCGGCCTCAAATGCCACCTTTTGGGCTTCTGTCACCGTGGACTTCTGTGCGGCCTGGAGCCTCAAGCAGGGGGACAGGGCCTTCCCGCCGCCCTGCAGAGCCCGCTGGCTCACAGCCCGCCTGGGAGAGGCCGAGGTCCCCAGGCCATGCTTGCCCCGCGCAGCTCTACCCTGCAGGAAGGAGGGCTGCGGGCGGGCGGAGGGCCCCTCGAGGCTTCCGTCTCCCACCCACGGGTGGCACTCACCGTGGCAGCCGTGGAGGTGGTGGTGGCCCCTGGCACCGTTCGCTGAGGTGTCCCCGTCTGAACAGTCGTGGCCGTCCCGAGGGAAGTTGTCTGGGCAGCGCCACCCAGAACCAGCTGAGGCTAAGAGAGTCCAAAGGCAAGGTAAACAGAGGGTCTGCAGAGACGGCCCTCACATCCCCCAAAAAGAACGAGACCCACAGCAGGCGGAGCCCTGGACCCCGCGGACAGCGAGCCTGGCCGAAAACTGGGGACAGGGAGCCTGGGCAGGGCAGAGCCTGGCCGGCGGAGGCCGGAGCCAGGAGTCCCACGGCCACCAGTGTGAAGTGTCTGTCCTCCCAGAAATGAGAAGCAAAACGGAGAAACTACAGCTGAAAACGTGTCACCTGGCTTGTGCAGAAGCCAGTGACGGGAAAGCACCGTCCTCCCGCAGGGTCTCCACCCACATCACCTCTGGCAGGGGCCCCAGCTGCGCCCCCGCCACCAGGCCAGCCTCTCCCTGCTCTCCACGAGCAAGCCTCATCGAGAAACATCACAAAACGAGGGCTTTCCGAGCAGATTTGAGCAATCCGTAGGGAGTGGGTGTGAGTGGGGAGGGGCCGGAGACCCCCACGGCAGCCCCTGGGGGCTCCCGGAGCCTGGCTCCACACGAACCGTCGCGACAAACAGTTACTGCTCTGTGTATTACATTCTCCCAGTTGATGCGTCTAGCCTTCGACATTCCCTCTCCGGTTTTCCAGACCTTGCTGTCTGTGGCCCGGCGCGCCGGGAGGCCTCCCCTGAGCATCTGCGGCTATGCCGGTGGCTCGCTCAGCCCCCAACCCCCCACCCCGCGAGGGGACGGAGCTAGAGACGGCGGGCCCTCTCCTTACAACCCGAGTGTGCTCGCTCACTCCTAAGGTTCGCTCACAGGGATTACTGAGAACATCACATGACCCTTGGAAGGAAGGCCGCGGGGAAGGACACACGGAGCCACCGTCTCGGGGCAGCTGGGGGGACCGCTCAGAGGCTTCCGGATGCCCAGAAACGGCCAGGGCACTTGTCACCCCGTGCAAGTCCCCTGCACCTCAAGCCACACTCCCCACGTTCCCTTCTGCGGGCCTGACGCGTGCATAGGTCACCCCGTGGTGCCGACACCGCGTCTGCCTTCCACCTGACCCGCCAGCTTCAGGGCCTTCTCAGGACAGCTCCGCTCACTGTGAGCAGAACTCTAACACGCCCACCGGAATGAACCCAGGCGGAGAGCGAGTCCCAGGACAGCCACCCTCTCACGGGCGCTCCGAGGACACGAGTCTGCCGCTCTGCTCCCACCTGTCCAGCTGCTTCGAGGAACAACCTCCCTGCCGCAGACGCAGAAGGAAAGACGACGAGGTGCAGCCAGAGGGCAGGGCGCCCGGCGCCAGGAGGCTCCTGGGCCTCCCCCCGCCAACCGTCCACACCACTCTTGCCTCGGCTTCCTCATCTGGGAAACCGGAACAGCGCCCGCCCCACAGCAGCACAGGGGGGAGTCACACGACAACCAGCAACGACGGAAACGCGGTCCCCGCACGCGGCAGACGCCCGACACAAAGTGGCCAACGCCGCACAACCTGCATCGTGACGGACGCTCGAAACACCTCAGGACCGAACAGCTCTGAACCCCTCTGCTTCCGGCTTCCCAGCCTGGCCGCCCAGCGCCAGCCGCCACCCTGCCCAGGGGGCTTCCTCCCGGCTGACGGAAGGGGCCAGCCTGCCCTCGGCTTGACTGACCAGAGGCAGGCTGACAGGGGAGGGTCACCAGGGCACTCTCCCCACCACAGCCTCGGACACCCGGGAAAGAACACACACACACACACCAACCCCAGAAGGCTGATGGGGAACGTTTCTGGGACCGGGCTTGGTTCCTGGCAAAGGGCACAGGCCTCGGGGACGCAGGGCAGCTGGGCAGCCGCACACGGGCCCAGGGGTGCGTTCCAGAAGCCCCCGACCCCTCACCTGTCAGTGCCTCACCAGGAGGAGAGGGTTGTGGAGATCACACCCATCAGCGCACACGAGCAGCAGGAGCCCCACTCCCAGACGAGACGCGCATCCTCGCCCCCGCACTTACAGGTCGGCGGGCACCACGCCCAAACCGTCCACGCTACAGATTCCTCTGCTTTACGGTCAAATAGTAATAAGGCGATTGTTTCCGGGGCGCCTGTGTGGCCCAGTCGGTCAAACGGCTGACTCTTAATTTCAGCTCAAGTCATGATCTCACAGATCTTGAGTTCGAGCCTGTGTCTGGCTCTGTGCTGACAGTGCGGAGCCTGCTTGGGATTCTCTCTCTCCCTCTCTCTCCCTGCCCATCCTCCCCCAAAATAAATAAACATTTTTTAAAAAACAAGGCGGGGGGGCACCTGGGTGGTTCAGTCGGTTGAGCTTCTGACTCTTGATTTCGGCTCAGGTCATGATCCCAGAGGTTGTAGGATTCTCTCTCTCCCTCTGCCCTCCCCCGCTCGCATGCACTCTCTCTCTCAATTAAAAAAAAAATTTTTTTTTAATTAAGG